GCTGACTACTGATAGTAGCAACATCACTGAATTCCAGCGTCTCAGAGTAAAAGCTGTTGCTGTCAAATGAGCTGTTTCCTGCTGGTCTTCCTCCAAATAGCACCTGTCCTTCAGGAACCTCAACTCTTTATCATTTGGCCCCTACCTGGCTTGGATGCAATGACCTGCCTTGCCTGCTGAGTGAATGGGGCCAATGAATATCAATTTCATGTTAAGATACGCAGGAGAAATATGATTAGGGATTTCTGGATGTGACCCAGGTGAAACCCAGGCCAAACTTATTAAAGATACAAATAGGTAAATGTTGATAGGTGAAAGGCTCTGTGCAGAGATAGGCAGGATGACTGTATCTTATCTTACACCAGGTGGTGGCACTAACTTGAGGCAAACTTCTTTCAGCAGAAAGCCAAGGGAAAATGTGGAATTTCCATTCAAAATCATGGCCCTGTTGAATTGGGCACCACCTTACACCATTAGCCTTTGGTGGCATGGATTTCACAGAATCTCAGAGTTAGGAGGAACTTTAAAGGCTCTGTAGCCCAAATAAGACCTGACTTAGAATCCCTCAAATCATACCCCATCACTGGGTGTCCAACCTTTGCCTAAAAACCTTTATCAAGCAAGATCCCCAACAGCAGGCTGTTATACTTTCAGAATGCATACTGGTCACCTTCCTCATTCCCTATCTTTTGGAACTCAAGAGTTCGCCCCTGGGACCCTGGGCTCTGACAGGTGAGTTTTTACTTTATCTCTCCCATAACAAGGCTACCACACCACTTCCTAGACACTGCCAAGCTATACTACCACTCAAGTAACCCATCTCTTTCATCACTTTCTAGCTTGGAATTATGTGTGTTGCCTAGGAAGCAGCTAGTGGGTGTTGTTGGAAAGAATGGCAGACTTGGGATGAGGAAGATCTGAGTTGCAATGGTTCCTGAGATATTTACTAGCTGTGAGACCCTGAACAAGTCACTTAATATCTCTTTGCCTCAATTTCCTAATTACAAAGTGGAGATAATAATAGCACCTACCTTCCAGGGCCATAGTGAGGCTCAAATGAGATGATATATGTCAAATACTATAGAAATAAATACTAATTTCTCTTCTTCTTCTTCTTCTCCTTCCTCTTCCCCTTCTTCTCCTCCTCCTCCTTTTCCTTGTCCTAGTGGTAGTAGTAGTACTAATGGTAGTAGTGATTGTTGTTATCATTATTTTGTCATTAGAATGTAAAGTCACTGAGGACAGGGACCACCTTGCTTGCTTGTGTATGAATCCACAGAACTTAGTACATAGTTGGTGCTCAATAAATGCTTTTCATTCATTCATTCATTTTAGCCTTCAACAAGGGGGAATCTACTTCCTAAATTGTGTTTCCCACTTTGGGATCACACCAATTGTTAGGAAGTTTCCCCCTCAAAAAATGTAGCTTAACCCTTTATTTTCATAACTTTGAGACCGATTATTCCTACATCTAGGCTTAAGCAGACCACGATGAACACTCCATCACGACCACCTTCAGATTTTCTCTTCATCAAGTTAAACATCCTCCCTTCCTTCACTGAATGTTCATAAAATGTGACCTTGAGGCCCTTCACCACCCCAGCTTCCCTCTTCTGGATGCTCTCCAGGTTATCAGTTTCCTTCCTAAAATGTAATGGCCATTATTTTGATGAACATGACCTATGGCTACTTAAACTCCCCATGTGTGCCACACCCTTACCTAGAATGACAGCTTCCCCAAATGTACAGAGGAACACTGGGCTCTGGATTGCCACAGACTGACACATTCTTTCTTCATATTATGGGTTTAAAGATCGAAGGGACCTTTGAAGTCATAGGATCAGAGGACCATAGATCCAAGATCTGGAGTTATAAGTAACCTCAGAGGTCATCTGGTGAAACCCCTTCCAATCCATCCCCATTTTACAGTTGAGGAACTGAACTCCAGAGAAGTGACTTGTCCAAGGTCACACAGAGTAACAGAGCTAAAATGTGAACCCAGGTCCTCTGATTGTGAATTCAATACTGTTTCTACTGTAGCCAAGGTTAAAAAGCTAGCAACAAACTGTCATATGAACCAAAGCCAGTTTATTTTTTTTTTAAACAAACAGTAAGTAAAGCTCAGAAAAAGATATACTTAGATGAAAGCCTAAAAGATTAAAGGCAAAAGGGCTAAAATCAAGTATTGTGTGTATATGTGTGTGTGGAGTGAGGGCAACCCTGGAGAGAGGGCACCACCCTGGGAACCAGTCCCATGCTCTGCACACGACACGTCTTTGGTGAGGCAGAAGGTCTGATGCCAACCTTGGGAATCAGAGATAGAAAAGGGAAACAGAGTCATATTCTAGTCACTGTTTACCTACTTTCTATGACCACCTCTATGGAGATACCTTGGTGGCTTCTGCAAACAATATTTTTTTTTGTTATTGTTGTTTTGTCCCAGACTGGAAGGGCGGCCACCACTCTCTGTCCCATCCCACTACTCACTGACACAAGATCTTTAACATGCCCTGTTTCCAACCTGGGCCAATTCACCCTTCCTTAGACAACCTTCCTTAGACTTCCTCATCCCCTACTCCCAGGAGCTCACCATATTGATACCAGACTTAATGAGAACACCCACACCCAATTGTCTTAGCTCTCTTCAGCTCAGAACTCCTGAGCTCAAAAGATCCATCAGCCTCCGTCTCCCCAGCTCCAAAGATTATAAGCAGGTGCCACCACTCTTTATAATTAATCCTTTATAGCAGAAGCTCCATGGGCAGAATTAAATATTCTGCACCCATCTTTTCCTTCAAGCTGTCCCCTTTGGTGCTATGGTAAGGAAGAATGGGTTCCAAGTTATCTTGGCTACTGTGTCTACCCAGGAATTTCATATGATCTTAATGTGTACATGGGGGTACACCGAAGAGAGATGAGCCTTGGAAGTTGCCTGCTCCTCTATCAGTCCAAATGCTCTGAAGAGTCAACATACAGCAAGCACAAGAGGGATCCTGTATTCTCTGCACACTTCAGTCAACTATGTGACTAAAAAGATATGTGAGAATATTACCGTGAACTCAAGGCAAGGAAGAATGAAATGGACTTGACAGTCAGTGTTACAGCTGAGAATATTTAAAAGTCTCGAGCAGGATAAAGGGTTTAAAGTCTTACTCTTTGCATACTTCACAACTATGAGGTCAAGAAGGGAACCTGTATCCCTTCATGCTATAGCTGCCCAGTGGTGGTATCAATTCAATTTTAAAGCCTCTACTGTGTGCTAGCTTCAATGTCTGCAGCAGTATGCTAAAGCCTGCTTATATGTCCTAGAAAGAGCTGGTTGTTAAATATTCAGGGAGAGCATTAACGCTTTGAAAACTGGCAAACACCAAAAATCAGGGTTAGATTTATTGTGTTATAGATTGTCTAGACTTAAGAAAGCAATGGAGAAAACATTAATCATGTGGGGCTCTCTCCACACTAACAAAATCATAGATCTAGACTCTCGCCTACCTCCATTTTTTTGCCTAAACATTTTAGTCATGATGCATAAGAATATTCTAATCAACCTGATCGTTGGTAAGGAAAGGGACTTTAGACTTCTCAGTCAGGTCTTGACATCGCTCTGACCTTTTTCTGAGGACTAGGGAATGGAAATGTCTTCTCAGAACTGGAATTAGACCAGGAGATCAATTTTAATGACCTTTACCCAACATACATTTTATATAGGAAAAAAAAGAAAATAGCAAACAACGCACCAGTTGATCCCAATGGGCTGTGTATGTGAATTGGCTTCAGAAAAGGTCCTAAACAAAATCGACTCAAATGATTAGAGGAGGAAAGGGCTGCTCTTGAGGATCCTTGGGATTTGGAGAAAACCAGCTTTTTATATTTGACCCTTTATAATTTCGCCACTGTATTCCCCCCTCTGCCATCCCCATTATGTTATGTCTGCTTATATATGTACATGTCATTTAATCTCAATAGAATATAAACTCCTTGAGGGCAGGAAGTGTTTTTTGGTGGTTTTTTTTGGCTTTTTTGTTTTGTTTTGTTTTGTTTTGTTTTTGTTTTTGTATCCCTAGAACCTAGCAGTAACCAGAACATTGAAATTACTTCATGGATGCTTGGTGATAGTGGCTCTAATGGATGCTACTATTAATAAATATGACGCTTTTAAGTTATCACACAAAACAAATTCGCCCAGGTTTCTGGGATCTGTGTTTGAGAGTAATTCTGGCACAAATAGAGCTTGCCAGAGTGTTGACTTCAGAGGACTGGTGGTGAGCATGCCTCTCTCCTCTGGGCAGGGAGGAGGTGCACTGCTGCAGAACGAAGCCTGCGCTGTCCGCTGTCTGATGGGACCAGGGGGTTGTTTTGATTTGCATTAAGAACTACAAGGGGAAGTTCTATTGGATAGGAGGTGAGGGGGGAGGGAAGGAGGATTCTTTAGAAAGTGACAATGATGTCTTAAAACAAGCATCAATAAGACATTTATTTTAAGCATTTCTAAAGCTATTCAAAATAAAAATGGAAACAATAGACCTGGCTCTATTGTTCTGTTCACTTTGTTGGTGATCACAAGCACCAGGCACATCACAGATGAATACCTCATCAATCCAGGGAGGGCAGAAGAGAAGACTGTGGGCTTGTAAAGACTTTCGAATTGGTGGAATCCTTGAACCTGCATCCAGGATTGACCAAGAGGCTAAAATACAGGATCCCCAGAGAGTGGCAACGATGAAAATGGAATATGTTTGATTTTCAGTTTTACAAAGCATGAAATGCTTTTTTTTTTTTTAATCACCAAATGCTAAACACTCCCTTCTGTGAACTCTGTGGCCACCAAAGTCTGTTAGCATTTGAATCACGACTGAAGAATACAAATGAGTAAGATGTTGCAGGAGACCTGGCATGCCATAAAATGTTAGTGGGCATCAGACAGAAAGATCCTGATATCAATACAGGGCTGACAATTGATGGAGGTTAAGGAGGAGAAAGAGAAGTGTGGTAATACTGACCTCCCGAGGACAGATGATCCTCTTGGGCCGTGGTGCTTCCTGCTGTAACTGATACACTGCCAAAGAGAAAATGCAGTCCGTAAATGCACACATACACATAAGCATGCGTTCAGAGAGACTTTACACAAATGCTCCTCAGAAACTAAGAATGCATTGAAAGAGAGATACAGGTACATCCTTAGATCACCAGAATCAGATCATTTATATGGAAATTAGTCACTGAGAATGTAAACTGACAAAATTGATTTTTTTTTTATTCTTATGAGGCCGATTTTGTTGGGTAATTGTTACCGGCACTGTTCATTTTTATGATTTTCTTGGAAGCCTAAATACGATTGAAAGTATTCTGAATATTTTAAAGATAGAATATCACTTGGGAGTACCTAACTGTAAGACCAAATGACAGGATTCTTGAATTTAAATGTAATCACCAGAGGTCTTTGGACTGGCCAGACAAGGACTGACATGGAAAGAAATGTCATTCTCTAAAGGCATCTACAAAGACCCATCAGAGGGCTTCCTGTGGTTGAGCAAAACATCACGCCTTTTCTACTTTTTCCTGATATCTTTCTATTTCTGTGCTGCCTATCACCATGGTTTCTCTTCCATTTCAGTGTTTCCCATTCCCCCTCCACCCCTTTCTATTTCTCTTCCTTGACCTCTTTTCTGATCTCAAAGCCTCTCGATAATAGCTCTCTTCCACCTGTTTTCAAGGCAAACTTCAGACTACGACAGAGCCGAGCAGAGAACTCACAGACTGAAAACCAATTTAGCTTAGCCTGTCACTGTCAATGTGCCTTTTGCCATTTTTATTTCAGTGGCTGAAGCCTGAATGAGTCTTGGTTCTGCAGGCCCACAATTCCGTTTGCTCTTGCAGCAAAATCAGTCTTACGGTGGTACCTTTTAGACTCTACCACCTTTTAAAAAAAAAAGGGAGTGAATGAAAAGCTTATGACTTTTTTCAGCATCTAGACAAGGGCAAAGTTCATTAGTGATGGAATCCACGTCAAGCTAAAAGTTCATCTGTGCTGACTATCACAAGAAACCTTAACCCTACAGAAACAAAGAGAAAATGGTTTGATTTTAGCAAGGCCCCAAGCTACAGAATGTTCTCAAAAATAGGAAGGGGTGATGCTGTTGGGTGAGAGAAGGTGTGAAGGTTGCAGGATAAATGTTGTAATCATGGATTTTTCACATTTATAGCCTCAGCTCTCTGCCATCTTTGCCACATTAAAGTAGACCCTATTGATCTTGGAGAGGCTGATATCTCTGGGCATCTGAGAGTTCATATTTGTGAATGCCCCCTTTAATGATGCATGTTACAAGTCATCTATGCCTTCTCATCCTCTAGGGTTATTGACAAGATCCTTTCCAAAATCTTTCAATAGAACAGAAGTTCTGTGAGGGCAGAGACATTTTAATCCTCTGTGCCTCGCAGAATGCGTGGCAATACTGTATTGAAGTAGGGGTTTAGTAAATACTTATTGATTGACTGAAAGAAGGCCTTCCCAAAATATTAGAGGCCTTTCTCAGGCCTTTTTTTTTTAAACATTTCCTAGGCCCTATATCAGATTGCATGTCATCCTGGGGAGGGGAGAGGGGAGGAAGGGGGAGAAATCTGGAACTCAAAATCCTACAAAAGTGAATGTTGAAAACCAATAAATAAATAAACATTTCCTAGGCCCCTGTGTAGCACTTGTGTGCTTTTTTTTCACCCCTCATTTGCACCATATATGTGACCTGCAGACCTCCTTTTCTAATCAGATATTTCTTAGCTAATTTCTCTTCTCACATATATCCTTTTTGGCATATACCCCAGTCTCCTGCTTCCTGGCTCCCGAACCCCACCTTGGAACAACAATATTCCCTCAGTGATGCTGTGTGGCTATGAATCATGCTGTATCATGATGTCTAAGAACCAAAACTGGGGGTGACCCAACCTTGAGGACAGAAGAGGAAAGATCCAGTGCTCTTAGCCATTCTATGAGATGTCAGACTTTAAAGGGAATGGTTTCCCTGTACCTAGGGATGTGTAGTCTGTCTATAAATGAAGGTGCACATAGGATGGGGAGAGCCCATGTTCACCTTCAGCTCACAGAAGTGCTGGGAATGTGGAGCCAACGGACAAAGAGCCTGCCTCTTGCAAAGGTAGCCAGCCTGCTAGCAGATCACTGTTGGCTGAGATGGGGCACAGTGAGTATTGACCCTGCCCAAGCAGGGTGTGGAGAAGCACCTGAGATTGGGCCCCCCAGAGTTTCTGTGAACATGAGTTATTTTTTATACCTCCAACACTTTGGATAGAAGGGTAGATGGTGATGTCCTTGATTGGAATGGGGAAAGGGGAGCACAACTGTCAGCTGCATGCCCTCACTTGGGGTCGGGAAATCCCAGAAGGCCCTGGAAACCAGGGGTGGTGTCATTTCTCCAATATGGCCTAGAGCTCCCTGAGAACCCACACTTTCAGAAGAAGGCACAGGTAGAAGGGGACTTGACATTCCATAGATCTGTATCTCCTACTCATGAACCTAAGACAGTAAAACGCTGAGGTTTACTTTTTTTCCATAAAGAGCCTCTGCCCATCCTCCCCTCTTGCTCCTACCGAGACATGACAACAATCTGTGAACAGTGGGGCAATGCTTATGGATGCTCTGACTCATTAAAGGCAAGGTGCCCGACAGACAGCCTGTTACATAACAGAAAGAGCACTGATTTTCAAATCAGATGACATCATCATAGCGTCCAAGACCCAGAGCTGGTCCTACCCAGTCCAACCTCCTCACTTTATGGAAAAGGAAACTGAGGCCCAAGATGGCCAAAAGACTATCTTTGAAGGGCACCTAGATCTAGAACTGGAAGGCTGGCCATCAGGGGCCAGCTGGTTCAACCCCCTCATTTTACAGATGAGGAAACTGAGTCTTAGAGAGATTATGAGGCTTGGCAGGTTCACACATAAGAGCTTGAGGTAGGAGTTGAACCCAAGCCTTTCTAGCCCCAAGTCCTACAGTCTGCCTGCTCTGCCCCCGGCTGTTGTCTTGATCTGGATGGTTTAGATCCTGACTCTGCCATCAGGATCACCTCGCACAAATCCCTTGATCTCGCTAGACCTCATTTCTTCACCTCTAAAATGAGAGGACAGGATTCGATGCATCTGAGATCCTTTTCAGCTGAAGGTCTGGAAGACGTAGCCAGAACTATGATTCTGTAATCGTGTCCCAGATTATCGCATCAGTGTGGGGAATTTTAGACTGAAGAGTCAGACTGGTCAGTGAGGCCAAAAAGAAGAGGCCTTTGTTTGGCTCGCTGTAACTCACAAAAAGGCAATCTTGAGGCTTAGGGAGGCAGCCGGGGGAGGATTGGAGAAGGCTGAGGCAGCAAGATCACAGATCCTGCAGAATCTCATAATTGCAATGAAGGATAGCCACCCCAGAGTCAGACTGGAAACCAAGGGAATTTTGCCAACCAAGGGACCTGGGAGGCTTTGTGAAGGTCTAAGGTACCAAGCAGGCCTCCTTGTCCTACGGAGCCTACCTCTCTCTTCAATGCCTTTCCTGATCCCCTCCCCGCGTCGGCTGGAGCCTCCCTCCCTCATCACCTTGAATTGAACCACCCTGTAGAGCTTCACTTTAAATTTGGACTACATATATTTAAATGTGGTACTATTGTAGTCCCTCTGACTAGAGCATAAGCTCTTCATGAGGGGTTGTTTCATTCTTTAACTGACTGATAATTCATAGTACCAGGCCAAAGTCACCCCACCTTTTTATCCCTGTCTTTCACTCTGTACAAGTATCAAGTTATGGACCATAGGCCGCAGGCCAAAAGTCATGTCAATGCAGGGGAAGGGCCCCTTGAAACCCTCCCAAGTCTGGTGCTAAAAAGCCGGCCAGGCTGGTTACTGTAGATAAGCGGGCAGTGCTGAATCCTGCCTGGCATGGACGTTGTCCAACCCGCCAAGAATGACATCCTGAGAGAGCTGCAGGCAGGCCTGAGGGAACCCAAAGTTTGTCTAGACTGCAGCTTTTGCTATATCACTGACACCTGACCTATGGAAATAATAAATAGCTAGTATTTACAGAGTGCTGTAAAGTTGGCAAAATGTTTTACAAATATTATTTCACTATATCCTCACAGTAACCCGGGGAGGTACGTGCTATTATTTACCCCATTTTACATATAAGAAAACAGGCAGGCAGACGTTAGGGGACTTGCCCAGGGTAAAACAGCTAGCAAGTGTCTGAGGCTGGATTTGAACTCAGGTCTTTTTGACTCTAGGTCCAGTGCTTAGTCCACTGTGCTGCCTAGCTGCCTCAGATTAACACAATCCATAGCATGATGGGACGGGGAAGGAGAATCATTTCTGGGCCTTCGTATTCAGGAATTATGGAGTCACAAACCTTTATGGCGGGAAGGTACCACGAAAGCTTTCTACTACAACTACGTTAGAGTCCAAGGACTGGGCCAACTTTCTTCTTGGCTCAAAGATATAAGTTTGCCTGGTCATTTTTCTACAAGGGCAAAACCAAAAGTGACTTCTCCGCTGTTTGGGTGTTGTCTTAAGTGTATCTCCCGATAATATTTTAAAAGATCAGCTCTAGTCCCAGCAGAATTCTCTTAGAGCCCTAACTAGGCTAGAGAGACAGGAGCTTTGTCTCAGGGGGCCAACATTTAGAGAGCACTGACTGCACTCTCAGTCTTTCAGAGGTAGGAACAATTGAACTTAGCACTGGGCTGCAGATTAATTCATTTAAATAGGAAGCTACAAGATAGAGCTTCCTCTCCTCTTGTCAGGTGAGTGCTTTCTCCACCAGGACTGCCCTTCTCCATCCCTCCTCAGCTGAGGCCTAAGGTGTCCCAGGGTCACTCAACCACTGGAGCCTTGTGCCTCCAACGTCTTTGGTCTCTCTCTGGAGTTTTCCCCAACCTCCCAAATCAATTTGCTCTTAAAAGTTGACTCAACGGCACCTTAGTGTGGCTGGCCCCAGACTCCAGAACTGCTGGTCATAGCTGTGAACTCTGGTCTGGAAGAGGGACATCCAGACAGCTGCTGGGGAAGTTTTTGGTGACAAACTACCTCAGAAATCATATGGGGATGGGGTGGGGGTGAGGGAGGGGGGTAAGGATGGGGAGTCTCCTCTTTGCTCCAGAAGTGGGAGAACCACAGAAGTCAGCTGAAGGGATCCTCTCTCTTTAGGGCCATATTTCCCACAACACATGAAATGGGAAGGAATTTAAGCAGTCTCTAAAGTTGCTTCCTTCTCCACAATTCTCCGTCGCTGAATCTACGGCAGGCCTTAGGCTTTTTTGTGTTTCTGAAAACCTGTCATAAGGTGGATCTCTGTAAAATTTCCCCTGGGAACAATATAATAATTGGAATCGAATTCCTGCCCAAGGATTTAGCATCCAATAAACCATCAATCAATCACCAAGTATTTACCAAGTGCCTGGTATAAGCCTTGAAGGAAAAGATAAAACTCCTCGATCATTTAAAAGGCATATTATACTCCAAGTCCTTCAGAAAGGGAAGAAGGGGGATGCACGCTCTGTCGTCTGGCTCCCTACCTCAAAGTTCCCCAGGTGCTCTTCATCACTAAGCATGACGGCCTCTTCTCAGGCCTCATCTTGCCCTCTCTGCAGCCTGGCAGAGGCACCAGCCATCAGCCTCATCTCCAGGATGGCTCTCTGTCTCCTGGTCCTCCTTCCTTCTCAGGCTCCTTTGGAGAATATTCCTCCAGATCACACACTCAGTGTGTACTAGCTGCCCTTCCCTTTGCCCTCTGTGCCATCGCAGAGATTTCCTAAGCTGTCCTGGGTTCAATTACTGTCCCAGTGCAGATGATTCTCAGAGTTACTTGTCCAATCCTGACCTCTGTCTTAGGGCAGCTAGGGAGTGCAATGGATAGAACACCAGTCCTGGAGTCAGGACCGCCTGAGTTCAAATCCAGTCCCAGACAGCTGCGTGACTCTGGGCAAGTCACTTCACCCTGTTTGCCTCAGTTTCTTCATCTGTAAAATGAGCTGGAAAAGGAAACAGCCAACCACTCCAGCATCTCTGTCAAGAAAACCCCAAACGGGGTCACAAAGAGTCGGACAGGACTGAACAACAACAAAGCCTCTCGAGCTCCAGCTTACACCAGTTACCAACTGTCCCTTGTGCATCTTGAATCATGAGTCCCCTCCCCCTCTAGTGCCTTCCCTCTGAGAGCGTCCTCACATCGCACACACTGGGTCTATCTCGTCCTCTCCCCAGTACAACGTGAGCGTCCTGAGGGCCTAGGCCGTGTTTTGGTCTTCCTGTGAATCGCCAGCACTTAGCACTGAACCTGGATCACAGGAAGTGCTGATTATTCAATCTGTTCTTCTAACCGCCTGGGTGCAGCGCTCATCTGAAGTCTGTGGTCCAGACACTATTTACAAGGGGCCTCAGTGTACTTTAAAATGAACAATTTCCTTTAATAAGCAGTATACACCTAATGGTTTGGTGGGTCTGATCTTAGCCATGGATCATCATGAATGTCATTTCCACCAATAAACCATTTGACAGTTTGTTGGTATGGCTGCTGTTTGGTTGGGGTCTGAGGGGAGATGGTGGTCAAGGTGCTGTGAGTGGCAGGTCAACTTGTCTGGTATGTGGTTTGCTGTGGGCTTGAGCCCTCAATGAGCACCGCGCCATCAGTACATACGAAGCCAAAGTAAACGGAAAACAAACCAAAATACAACCTGATCAGATCATATGATAAACTGGACCAAAACTAATAGCTAACTCTAATTAATGTTCATTAAACATATCTTCTGTTGGATTCAGAGCTAGGCCCTTGTATCCAGGGATCACTTAGTCTAAATTTTTTTTTCAGTTGAGAAAAATTTAGAGGCTGTTGACTTAGAAAACCACAAATTAAGATCATCTATGGTTCATCGCATTTTTATTTCTTTTGTTAAATATTTCCCAATTACATTTTCATCTGGTTCAGACCAAAGTGGGGAGTTTTGTGGGCCACATGCCCTCTGCGCTGGATGGCTGAGGCCTCCTAAAAAGCTGCCTGAGGAAGTCTCAGTGGCCCCTCACTTTGAATAAAATTTCTTACACCAAGCAGAGACTTTACTAATCCCACCAGTGAATTCAGAGCTCAGTTCAATAAGAGGCAGGTGTGTACACTGTCTTTGCCACTGCCCCCCAGCCCCCTTGCCCCTGCCCTGCCCCTGCCCTGCCCCTGCTGCTGCTGGCATTTGTCCTGTTGGAAAACATTGTAAGGAAAGTCCTTTAAGAGTGAAAGAATAAACCCTCTTGGGTTTATTCCAGGCCACAGCTGCAAGTACTCAACTCCAGACCGAAGGACCACTACCAGAAAATGAGAGAGGCCCTTTTCTGCCTCAGCCAGCTCTGTCCATTAGGTTCTCTCTGCCTGACTGCTCTAGAAGAGAAGCCAAAAAAGTTTGGGGAAGATGCCTGTGTGCTCTGGCCCACCCCCAATGCCCAGCCCTTTCCTGCCCTGGCAACTCTGCCCTGACTAACTGAAATGAAGGATAACTTTTTGGCACACCAACTATCATTCTGAATACAGGCAGGAGCAGAATAAAAATGACTTCCCTCCACTCCCCAGAAATGTTGATTGGAGCAGAGAATTTAAAAACAAACAAACAAAAAAACAACTATCCCAGTATCTCCTAGATCTGAGAGAAGCACTGTGTTGATCTGCTATTGGGGGTCTTCAAGGCCTGGCTTTCTGCTACACCATTTTACTGCCTCCCTTCAAGCTAAATATGGGTGAGGGTCATGCTTTGTGTCTTTCTGCTCCTGCCTCTAGTCAGGAAGATTCTGGGTGTGTTAAGGATTGTCCTTTATAGTTTTATTTAGAAAGCTGGCAGAGAAGGAAAGGATGGGGGTTTGAGATGGGCCAGAGCACTTGAAAATCTCCAAATCTTCTTCTGGACAGCAGTCAGACAAGGAGTTGAAGGGGACCCCAGCTAGTATTCACTACACAGATGAGTTAACTGAGACCAAGAAAACTCAAGAGAAGGGTTTAAGGGTGCACAGGAGGAAAGTGTCAGAGCCCCTGACTATAAATCTAGCCCACTTTCCACATGGACCAGGTTGCCTGTGCAGTCTACCTTTGGGTGGGCACGTTTCCAGCTCATAAAACCACGACTTGCACCCTCGCTGACAGCCTGAGCAAAAAATGTCAAGAGTTGAGAGGGCAGGAAGCCAAAATTCACCTATCTTCTAAATCTCAAGTTCCTGTTGTTTGTTGGCCAAATGCTGTGGGCTCATGGGCGGGCCATGGCCACCGCGAGGGAAACTCAGTGCATTGTTCTCCATCTTTGGCTGAAGCTAACCCAGGGAACAAATAATGGCTTTTGCTTCTCAGTGCCATCCATCAGGGGCTGCCTAAGTGTGCTAAAGTCAATTTTAAGGAATAATTAAGTAAGGGGGTGGGGAAGAGGACTAACAGCTTTTTGAGATGGATTTCATTTCTGGTACTCACAGTATGATTTCCATATCGGAGGCTGGTATTCTTCAGCATCTAGAATTTAAAAAGAAAGAAAGAAAGAAATCAGTCTATCAGCTGAAAGTCAAGCTGTCAACAAGTTATCTTCTCCAGGGAAGTCACAGCTTGTTAGCAAAATTTGCATTTCTGCCCCAAGTGAACCGCATACTCATTTACAGGGAGGTTGCAGATAAGAGGAAGAGAATGTCAATTTCAACACTTGTGGACTCAACACCATTTTCTTTTTCTGATAACTTAACATGACAGAATCAATTGCTTAACCATTTTCCTAGAGCCCAGTGAATCAAAAGGATATTTTAAGTAATTAACTCCACGGTGCCCTCCAGGAAGGTTTTCCAACAGCATGTACTTGTCTTGAAATAATAAACATATAATTCATCATCTGGCTTCAAAGCTGACCTTTTGCCCATTTATTAAAATCACAAAGAGGGAAGAAGTGTGTGATATTTAATCTCAGAGTTTTGCAACCCAAGCAACTGGGCTGTCCAAGCACCAGGTCTGATAGACCCAGGACACAGACAATTCAATTGAAAATCCATTATCTCCTTGAGTTGGGTCCAATGGGTGATTTAGAGATTTCCCAGAAAACCTATCAGAAGTGTCAGAGTGGAAGAATTACAAGCAAGTGTGAAGGGCTCGATTACTATTCATCAACCTAGAATGGGGGTGGGGAGGAGAATTCTTCAGGTTCAGAAGACGGAGCCATTTAAATGTTGGCAGATGAACCAAAGGTTCTAAACGTGATTGAACAGTCTCCCCAAGTTTACAGGAGGCAGGATGATGATCCATTGGCAACAAACACTCTGCTTGGTGACGGATGACCTCGGCACAAAGCTAGGCTCTGTCATCAACTCTCTGGGTGACTTCACACAAGTCACAACCTCTCTGGGCCCCAATTTATAAAATAAGTGATTTAGGTTAGATGATCTCAAAGGTTTCTTCCAACTTAAGATCCAGGATTCTTCTGGCTCTAAGTCTATGGTTCTGTGTGTCCTGAGGGCCTGGATTTGAACTCATCTCATCTGACTCCAAATTCAGTTTTTGCTACATGACCTTCTGCTGCTTCTTTTTAATAAATATTTGTAAACAGAATACGAATTACTGATTAGGAGATGGCTAAAAAGCTGTGGCACATAATGTAATTGAATTATCACTGTGCTAGAAGAAATGATGAATAGGATAAGGACAGAAAAGCATGGGAAGATTTACATGAACAGATGCAAAGTGAAATAAGTAGCCTAGGAAAACTGTGTATGTGTGTATGTGTACACACACATATATATATCTACATATATATATATGTATATATACACACACACCCATAGTTTTCCTATATATATCTATATACACACATATATGTATATGCATATATGTGTGTACATATGCAAATATCGTAATTACAATGTTATTAATAGGGAGAACAATCACAACCTATTTTAAATCAAATGCTTGAAAATATAGCCAAGCTTCTCCCCAAAGCAAAGACCTGAACAAACACCTCCCCCTGCTTCTTTGTAGAGGTGAAGACCATGGGTGTATGATGCTGCAAACAAGGTCAACCTTTTCAAAAAGCTGATTAGTTTTACTGATTTTTTCCCTCATTTTTTTCTTGTTTATTATAAGGATGGCTCTCTGATTGAGGATGGGGAAGGGATTCAGTGGGAGATATAAAAACAAATGAAATCACCAAAATCTTATTTTAAAGAAACAGAGCATGTAGTTGTTTATATATATATATATATATATATATATATACACATATATACACATATATATACATATATATGTATATATATATTAGAGAGAGAGAGAGAGAGAGTATGTTCTGCTAAGCAGGAATGGTGTATCTTTAGACTTCAGCAATTACAAAACTTTGTCCTAGCTAGGAAAATTTGGAAACAGAGGTAGGAGAGTGTCCCAGGAAGTTTTCTTCCTCAGAAACACTACTTTAAAGCAACCAAGTGTGAGCTAGCCCCAGTATAGTGCCTGGCAGATAGTAGGCACTTAGCAAATGCTTGATGATTGACTGACTGATCAATCAAGGGCAGAATTTATTTACTAAACTCCTTTGGTTACATATTGACTAACTCCTATTTTGTGTCTTGCTGTCTTCAACACAATTCCAATTCAATTCACCAAACACTCGTTAGGCATTTACTATGGTCCAAACACTGTGTGACTGGGAAGCTAGGTGGTGCCATAGTGCATAGAGCACTGGTCTTGGAATTAGGAAGACTCAACTTCATGAGTTCAAATCCAACCTCAGACACTAGCTGCGTAACCCTGGGTAAGTCACTTAACCCTGTTTGCCTCAGTTTCTCATCTGTAAAATGAGCTGGAGAAGGAAATGGCAAACTGCTCCGGTATCTCTGCCAAGAAAACCCCAAATGGGATTGTGAAGAATTGGACATGATTGAAAATGACTAAACAACAAAAACCACTGTGCCTGGTAATACAGAGATGAAAACAGAATTGTGCTGCCCTCAAGGAGCTCATCTCCTATACAACTAAGTATGAGATAAGGAAAATTGAGGCTGGGATAGCATTAGCCACCTATAGGATCAAGGAAGGCTTCCTGAAGGAGGTGGTACCTGGGAGGAGCCTTGAAGGAAAACAAGATGCAGAGAGACAGCAAGCAGACATTCCCAGTAGAGACATAATGAGTGAGAATGGGAGGGTATATTGTAGAAACAGGGAAGAAGGGAAGGTGGGAAATAGAGATAACATCCAAGATTCCTATCCTAGTGAAAGCATGGCCACTTAGCAGAAAATGCAGGCTAGTACTGCCCCAAGTGGAGTGGGGCAGGGGAGAAGAGATCCCAGCTGCCACCTCCTTCAGAAGGGTGGGGTGGGCAGAGGAGGAAGGATTCCAAAAAAGCTTCAAAAAGAGCCTCTCAATGTCCTATATGAGGGCAAAGCCTAGCTGTCCTACCCTAGTTATGGCTCTGCTTGTAGGGAAGGGAGGGAGCTCATACAAATAATAATAATGATAACAGTAATAGCTAGCATTGATATAGTGTTTAAAGGTTTGCAAAGCACTTTGCAGACATTACCTCATTCAATTTTCATAACAATCCTGGGTGGGAAGGTCCTATTAGTATCCCAATTTTACAAGTGAGGAAATTGAAGCAGTTAAGTGACTTGCCCATGGTCACACAGTAAGTTTTTGAGACTGGATTTGAATTCAGGTCTTCTTGATTCCAATACTACCAACATCCATAGGTTGGATTCAGAAGTGTTTTCCTCACAGCAATCCCTTGAGATAGACAGGACACAAATGTCACTAGCTCAGAAGGATCTGGGTTCAAATCTAGCCTCTGGCACATACTGATTGACTGTATGGCACTAGGCACCTCCTGGGAGCTCTCTCTACCAAATCACAGGTCCAGCCCCCTCTCCCCCAAATCATGGATGAGGAAAACAAGACTCAGTGAACTCAGTGGGTGCCTGAGGATCATGCAGAGTCAGAGCCAGGACTCAATGCCAGCTTTTCTGGTGCCTTGCCCACTTCTCTTACCACAACCCCTTCTTGTCCTGGTTCTCTGATGTTGTGGCCATCCAAGTAAAGAAGGCACATTCAAGGTCATTTGGCCAAGTTCAGGAACCTGTCCTCCACACTGGGCCATGTTAGATACACCAACGTTTCAGTCCCTGCCATCTTATTGTCCCTTTCCACACCTGCACGCTAATTGTGAGAATCAGTTGTGACCAAAATTAGACTAACTCTCTCTTCCTTTGTTAAAATAAAAAAGATTTCAGGACAGGCCCTTGACCTAGCATAATACCTGTGTAGTAAATCCAAGCTATGTGTTCCATAAACAGTTTAAAAATTCCTGCAGCATATTATTTCTAAAGATATTGGGGTCATGGACATTGGAGAGATAAGGTTTGAAATAACATGGCAGAGTCATTGCAAAGATGTCATTCCATCAAAATAAGCCAGGACCAAATACGGTGGTGGTTCAAGGTAACCAAAGAAAAAGTCCACTTTTGCCTATAATGGGCTCAGAGGTCTCTTTAAAAACCATAGAATTTCAGAGTTGAAAGAGGTCTCATATGCCACCAGAGTGAGATGGGTTGAATGACCCCTTCGGACACTTATTACATACTGTATGACCTTAGGCAAGTCATTAACCTTTGGGGTCCTCAGTTTCCTCCTCAATAAAATGAAGGCGTTGGACTAGATGGCCTCTGGGGTGTCTTCTACGAAAATTGGAGATCCTTGATCTTTCCATGGAATCCCCAACAACTGGGCATCTGGCTTCTGCCTGAAGTCCTCAGGGACTGAGAATGTGCTGGCAGCCCGTAATATGTGAGTACGATTCAGATTGTTACAGAGCTTTTCCTAAACAAGAAAGGACTCTTCCTCTTGGGTGTCTCAGTCACAGAATCAGCCCATTGAAAGGGAACGCGGTGGCTCACACCAACCTGAGTGATCATGGATAGAGCACAGGACTGAGACTCAAGACCTGGATTCGAACCCCAGCCTCAGATTCTTCCTAGCTATACAGCCTTGGGCAAATCCCTTCCCCTTTCCAAGCCTCAGTGTCCTCATCTGTAAAATGAGGGGGCTGGATTCCCTTCCAACTCTTTATCTATGAGCCTATGATCCAATATAGCTCACATTTGTATAGGATTTTTTACTAAGTTATCTCATCATGTCCTCACCACAATCCCCCAAGGCAAGTGTGACTATTAACCTCCTTTTTACAGATGGGGAAACTGCTCAATGACATCTCTGATCTCCAGCTGCCTCTGCTTGATGCTTCTGGAGGTGGTGATGGTGGTGGCGGCTGTGGTGGGGATCCACCATCTCACAAGAAACCTCATTTCTACTTTGTCATTATTAGGAGGTTTTCCCTGACATTAAGTCAAATTCTAATATTTACCCCACCCCCCATTCCTTTCTGTCTCCTGCTCTGACTTGAGCTCTCTGAGCCAGGGAAGAGCAAGTTAGGCCCCCTTCACATGACAGCCCTTCCAATGTTCCAATAGCATGGCCCACTCCCTCCTGC